CACCTGGGTGGCTCAGTCGGTTAAGTCGGTTAAGCATCCAACTTTGGCTCAGGTCATGATCTTGCGGTTTGTGGGTTTGAGCCCCATGTTGGGCTCTGTGCTGACAGCTTGGAGCCTGGAGCCTGCTTTGGAATGTGTGACTCCCCACCCCCATCTCTGTCCCTCCCCCACTAGTGCTCTGTCTCTCAAAAAATAAACATTAATTTTTTTTTTTTAAATTAAAGGGGTGCTTGGGTGGCTCAGCTGGTTGAGCGACCGACTTCGGCTGAGGTCATGATCTCCTGGTTTGTGGGTTCAAGCCCACGTCAGGCTCTGTGCTGACAGATTAGAGCCTGGAGCCTGCTTTGGATCCTGTGTCTCCCTCTCTCTCTGCCCCTCCCCTGCTTGCGCTGTGTCTCTCTTCATCTCACAACAACAAATGAAAATGTTTAAAAAAAGTTAAAATTAGACAGAAATTAGAAAAAAAAGAAAAAGATCTTTTGTTGGGAACTATCTGAAGAGATACCTTCTTTCAGTTGGTTGTTAGGAGAGTAGCAGGGAAGCCTGGAACCGATGGAGGCTTTGGCCTGTCTGAGAGAGAGGTCAACATGGAGAAAAGCAGAGCTGAAAGACAAAAAAAAAAAATCCTGGTGACATAACTTAGGTTCCTGGATGTAACTTGTGCCTGAGGCTGGTATACGCAGGGCTTTCCAGTTAGAGTCTAACAGATTCTCCTTTTCTCCTTGGACTCGTTTGGGTTCGCTTTTTGTTATCTGCCGCTGGGAAATCTAATAGGTAATTCTAGGAACAAAGAAAATATTAACTGCTAACCACCCAGTCTAAACCTGTTCTCTAGCACCTTGTGTAGAAGCCAAGGCTGACTCATACATACAAATCCAAACATTCTATACTTAAACCACTCTAACTGACATCAATCAATTAAGAGAGTTTTGTTCTGAATCAAAGGGAAGGAAAGCATCTAAGACCCTACACTCAGATCCCATACTGATCTGGCCACTGTCAACATCAATCTACATTCATCAACTGGTTTGAAAAAAATAAGGCAGTTGGATTTCTTTCCCCGAGTACCTACCATGCTTCCAGACTGAACCTACTGGCAATCGCCTAAGCATACCCTCTCCATAGCTGGGGAACTTGAAGTTGAGAGTGGTTAAATTATGCTCCGTAACTCAGGAAATACAGGTCGTGGCAAAATTCCAAACTCTAAAATCTATGCTCTCTCTCCCAATTTCAAGCTGTGTAAGGACTTTGGCTTATTCGTTAGCAAAAGAGATCATGAAGTAAGACCATTTCAACTACAGGAAACTGTCAATCAACTGTTATTAAGAATCACCAATAGTATGGTGATTCACAGTGGCATCTGATAAAAATAAAGGTAACAATGACAGCTATTCCTTACTAAATACCTACTATGTGCTAAGCACTTTTACGCAGATGACTCCATCTGCGTAACTCTCCTAATGGTCTGCAGGGGAAGCGCTCTTCATTTAACACTGTGGAAACAGGAATCTTGGAGAAATCAGTGACTTTACTGAGGCAACAAAGTAATAAGTGGCCTTGGGGGGATTCAAATCCAGATCTGATTCTATGACTTAAGCATTAAGGCTCAAACAGTCCTTAGTATGATCTCAACACCCCAAACCTATAGGTTCAATGTTCAACAAACTAGCTTCCCCTCCACAGATACAATGATCACAAATCCTGAAGTGATGCATAGTGGGTATTTTTTCCCAATGCAGGTGATATATGATTCTATATGAGATTCATTTTTAAAGCCTTTGTAAGACTCTTTGTACACAAATTCAGAGATGAGGTTGCAAAGGCCTGACTTACTACACACCCCCATTTCCGGCTCCGGGAAGATGGTCACTAAAACTATGGATTGTAATGGACCTACTCACTGAGAACAGGGTGCCTCGTGGCTGGGCCAGGTATTTATAAAACACACACCGTGGTTTACCAAAACACTTCTTGTTTTTTTTTAAGATTTTTTTAAGTTTATTTATTTAAGCAATCTCTACACCCAGCGTGGGGCTCGAACTCATGACCCTGAGATCGAGAGTCACACGCTCCACTGACTGAGCCAGCCAGGTGCCCCTACAAAACGCTTTCAAGGCGCTGCTTTAGATCCTGAACAGCCAGCCCCTGTGAAACAGCGATACCACACAGCAACCGCAGTAACCAACCCCACTGTCCCCATCCCAAGCAAGCACAGACTTTCATGCTCCAGGTCCTTTGACCCCTCCCCTACTTCTCCTTGGGCCTCAAATTTGCTCATCTTTCAGGTGCTAATCAAATGGCAGTCAAGTTAACACTTCCGCAGCAGTACCTGCCAACAGGTTTCACACCACAGCACGTGCAGAACGTAGTATTTATGATGTTATTTGTATCCTTGTGTGAAATGACAAAGCTGCTTGCGGCCAGAAAAGAATGGCAGGGGGACCGTCACTATTGGGTGTCTAAGTGTAGACACAGGCCCCACTCATCTGCCCTGATGCCAAGGGCAATCAAAATTTCCAAAGCACAGTACACAAATCTTTGTTCTTGCACCTGTCACATACATGAGATGGTTTCATTTACTTGTTTCTCCTGCAGACCACGAGCTCTTACAAGACAGAGTAGCAGGCGTATTCATCTCTATATTCCCAACAACTAGCCCAGGGCTTGGTACCTACTAAGTCTTCGAAATACATCACGGGAGCTGAATCTTCTTAAGACAGTCTTAGAAACAGGTACCAATTCCAAAGCTGGGTTAGTCAATACCTTTTCTCCAATCCCAGAAAAAAAAATTAGTTGCTTTGACATACTCTAAGAAAGACAATCTACTCCCACTTATGGAGAAGAGATACTTCCTCTCTATAAATTAATTCACTCAGTAATCTGTCAAATACCCACTCTGTGCTAGGTTTGAGGAACATACAGCAGTGAATGAGGCAAAGAGTCCCTGCCTTGCTTTATAAAACTTACAGTCGAGAAAGGAACACAGACATTAAACAAATAGTTCCATATACTTATTTGTAGGTGAAATTTAAAAGGGACATAAAGATGGGGCGCCTGGGTGGTTCAGATGGTTAAGCAACGACTATTGATATTGGCTCGGGTCATGATCTCATGGTTCGTGGGATTGAACCCCATGTCCGGCTCTATGCTGACAGTCTAGAGCCTGCTTGGGATTCTCTCTCTCTGTCCCTCCCCCGCTTTCATGCACATGCGCACTCTCTCAAAAATAAATAAACATTAAAAATAAATAAGAGACATAGAGGACAGAGTAGATACACAGATAAATTTGAATAAACAATGACAGAGAATGTCGAAGAACTGAAAACACAAATTATCAGGCAAAAAGGACCAAGTGCCAAAGAGAATATCTACACTTAGACACCCAATAGTGAAACTTCAAAGCCTCAAGGGCAAATACATGCTAATACACTGGAGAAGAAAAGGGAGGGAGGCAAAATACACCAAGAATAACTCAGTGCTTGGCATGAGCAACTAGAAGAATGGGAAGACAGGTTAAGGTATGTGAAGGGTAAAATTTAAATTTTCAGGTCTGGACATGTGTGAGATGCCAATTTGACATTTTAAGCGATGTCATTTGAGAGCTGAATAGAAGAATCTGGAGTTCAAGGTAGAGCACTGGGTTGCAGAGAGAAATTTGAGAGCACAACAGACAGTATTTATATTTAAAGCCTTGAAATTGATAGCTCCTAGGAAGTGAACACGGAGAAGAGATCCAGGATGAGACCTGGGGGCAGTATAACCATTAAAGATAAAGAGGAACAAGAAATCAGCAGAGAAGCCGGAGAGTTGAGACTAAAGAAGAGCATATTCCACAACATCAAATGAAGAACGTGCTTCAATAAAGGGCAGTGATGAACTGCAACAAAAACTGCCACGGGAGTGAGAAGGAACTTAAAACTGAATCTGGAGACCTTGAGATCATTGACAAAGTGCTATTTCAGGGAAACGGTGGGGGGCTGGACTGGAGTGGGTTCAAGAGAGACCTGGAGATGTCAGCTAGACACTGAAGCCTTAGGCTGTAAACGGGCACAGAGGAATGAGGAGGCAACTGTAAGTCTCTGGAGGACGAAGTTATCTCCTTAAGAGGGGCGCATCCTCAGCAGCCGTCCTCCCGCGCCTGGGCTGAGCACCCGACCGCCGCCTCAGCGCCCCGCACCGCGCGCGCCAGCTTCCGGCGAGCGCACGCGCAAACCCCAAAGACCGCCGGCCCTCCCTCTTCGAGCCCCGCCTCTCCCCGCCCAGGGCGCGTGCGCACCGCCCCGCGAGAGCCGCCGCGGCAAGGCCCGGGAATGTGGACGCACAGGGGACCCTAGCCCTCCGCTCCCGCCGTTCCCCGGGAGCCCCAGACCGCGACCCATCCCCACCTGCCAAGCCACGAGCGGAATAAGCACGTCGCGCTGGAAATTACGACGGCAGGAGCGGGCGCGTCCCTCGAATGCTTTTCAAAGCCTGAGGACCATAACGCGCTTACGTTCGAAGATTCGCGGCACGTCGAGAGCCACACACGCTTTTTTCCTTTTATGAGCCAGTCGCAGCCCGAACCCCTCCACGCATGCGCCGTCCTTCCTGTGTGACGTGCCGCGCTACTCCTTGGGAAATGTAGTTTTTACTTTGTCACCCTAGTCCGGAGTCCGCAGCTGTACCTTATTTTAACAAACTAGGGTCTTTGTGTGTTTTCAGTAGCCTCTTATTTCCCAAAGCCTCTATAAGATAATAAAATTTTTTTGTGAAACCCCACGTTTCTCCAAAAGATAAATTCTATTTTTAAAAAGTTTTAATAAACATCTGTGGACGCAGAAATAGCACTTTTAAGGAGTCTTCTCAGGACCATATTAAGGACGTAAGTAAATATTTAACTATTAGTTTACATAATAGTTTACATTTACATAAAGTTTACATTAAATGTTAGTTTACATCCCAGTATCTTATAATTTCATACATCCCTACCAAGAAGTACATTTTATTTCATTTGATTATTTGATACACTTGCCAGCTCAATAAGGTTATTAGTACCATCTGATTTGTTCACCTATGTATTCCCAGTATCTAGCACATTCCTAGTACCTATGAGGGCGCATAATAGACCCTCAATATTTTTGTGTGCACTTAGAAGGATTGCAGACTTCAACACAAAGTTGAAGTCCAAAGTTATCAGTCCAAAGTTAACGCATCCTTTCTTTCCCCATCAAGCTTCTTTTTCATTTTGTGATGTCTATCTCAGTGATGATGGCATGACCATCTATCCAGCGTCAGCTCTATATCCCGCATTTTATGAAGCTTGTACTGGCAAGGATTTCTCAAATTTTGCATTTGTGGAGGTCTCAGGAGCTATTTCTCCTGAATGTCAAATATCGCCCTTAATTTCTCCTCAGGAGCGATTTGGAGCTCACAATTGTTTGTTTGAATTTATCTTTAATCTCTCATATTCCTACTGTTAAACAACAGAAATTCAACTGAGTCGCTCTTGCTTTATTGAAGGTCAAATTGGCTTTATTGAATAATTCATGAATCTGGCAGCATCCCATCCACCGAGCTGAAGAAAATGAAAGGTTTTAAAAATTTTTTTAATGTTTTATTTATTTCTGGGGGAGAGAGAGAGAGAGCGTGAGCAGGGGAGATTCAGAGAAGGAGATACAGAATCTGAAACAGGCTCCAGGCTCTGAGCTAGCTGTCAGTACAGAGCCCAATGCGGGGCTCAAACCCACGAACCGCGAGACCATGACCTGAGCCTGAAGCTGGACGCTTAACCAACTGAGACACCCAGGCGCCCCCAAAATGAAAGATTTTTAAAGTGGAGAGGGAGCAGAAAAAGGGATATTAGCAAAGAATACATCGTTTTGGGCAAGGTTATCCCTCCTACAGGGAATGGAAGAGATCAGTAAATTTTCTAGAGCTGACCAAGAAATTTCATGTAGATTGGTTAAATAATAAATAATGACACGCGGGGCCTTGGTGGTTCAGTCGGTTAAGCGTCCGACTTCGGCTCAGGGCATGATCTCATGGTTCATGGGTTCAAGCCCCATGTTGGGCTCTGTGCTGACAGCTCAGAGCCTGGCACCTGTTTTGGATTCTGTATCTCATTCTCTCTCTGCCCCTCTTCCACTTGTGCTCTGCCTGTCTCTGTTTCTCAAAAGTAAATAAGTGTAAAAAAAAATTTTTTTTTAAATAAATAATAAAAGCTCACATTTGTTGGGCACTTACTATGTACCAGGGGCTGTTAAATATGCTTTATGTTTCATTCATAGAACATACTCTATACACTTATCAACTCCACCACATCCACCCCTCACCTGAGGGGTCTCCGCTCTTGACTCACAATGGCAAGAGCTTTTTATTTGCTTATTCCCAGATGTGCTGGTTGGGTTACTCATTACTCACTTTATGACAGACCACAATCATTGGGCTGAGTACACCCTCTCTCTTTCTGTCTCTGTTTATGGCCTTTATCTCTCTTCTCTACCCCTCCTCCCTTCCCCAGTGTGTGTGTGTGTCTTTATAAAACACACGTGCTGTTTAGTGTGCATGTATATTTAAGTCACTTAAGTGGTATTGTGCTATAAACCTCATTCAGTTTCTTATTTTTTCCACTCTGCACTCTACTTTTAAGACTTGTGCTTGTTGTTGTATGTGCCTGTTATTTAGAATAACTGTGCGATCTTTCTTAACAGACACCCACATTGTAATTATTTGGATTGTGGTGATGGACATTTAAATCGCCTCCAACTACTGGCTACAAGAGATAACAGCACAGTGAACAGTCTCATGCCTGCCCTCTTGTGGCCAATGTGAGGATTTTTCTGGGAAGTATAACTAACCCAGTGAGACTGGTCATAGCCCCTTAAATTGCCTGCCCTCACACATTCTGGCCAGAGCACTCTTCCTAAAACACGAAGGTATTCGTGAACTGGCACCTGGGTCTCCTCCCCCCTCCCCCATCACCTCCTCTCCCAACCCTCTCCACCTCCCTCGCCCCTTCAGTGCCTCCACTTCTTTAGGTTTTTCATACATGCCACGTCCCTCCTCCCTCCTCCGGAGCACATTTCCCTTCCCTATTTCCCTCCAAATCTACTTATCTTCCGATCTCCCTGACTGGGTCAAATCCCTCAAGAGCACCATGTAGTAGACCTGTAATTGTGACCCTAACACAATGTCACAATTGTACAGTTGTTTGTGGCATAATTTGATTTATGTCTGTCCTACCCCTCACTCCTTAGATTATAAACTCCATGAAGTCTGGGCTCATGCCTGTTTATGTTCATCACTGCATCTTTAGCACACAGCCTTGTGCCTGGCAGATAACAAAAGTACGTGTTAGGTGAGAGAGAAAATGAAGGTGTTCTCTCTGCTTCAGGAAGGGCCATTGAGGGGGCAGCATCTTGGTGGGGAGACTGCTATAGAATTTGGTCCTCAGCTCTGCAGGACCAGAAATTCCATTTTGTGAGCAACCTCTCAGGGTAGTCTCACACTGATGCAGCTCAAAAGAGACTGATGGACAAACCAGAACTCACGAAGTCACATGTGGAGATTTAGAAATGTGGTGCTGACCAGAACACTCCTTTCGCCTGGACAGCACCGGTCCTTCCTGTGAGAAAGACACAGCGTGGCAGAGAAAACTGGGCCTTTCTGGTCTTTTAGTCTCATTGTGTCGGAGCATCACATCTGAAATCTTTTCCAAAAAGCCTTGAAAAGTCACAAGGTCTCTTTAGGACGTGCGGAAGGAGTTATGTAGCATGACTTCCTAACAATCCCTTTACAAATCCCTCTTTTCACAGAGTTCCATTGCTGAGGACAATCAGTGCTCACACCTCTCCCTCCTCTTTGCTTTCTTCCTGCTCAGAACTGACTCTGTGCATGGGGGCTTCTGGCACCTTCTATGGAAAGTAAGCTACCCATCTCTCACCTTGTCCCTAGCCATCACCCACTTGAACAGAACAAAAAAGGCTTGAATCCCACACCCATCTTCTTAGTGCAGATGGTAGTACTAACTATAGGTTATATCATCTCCAGGCATGGCTGGACTGGCCAGGGAATGACATATAGATCCAGGCCCAAGAGATAGGAGTACTTGCTTACGATTTAAAGGAACCTGTAGGAATACAGCCCAATGAGCTTATGCACATATAAATAGCCTGAGCACAGCCAGGCAGCTTACCAGCACTATCCTGAACACATAGGCACCAGGTGCATATCGTGAAATCTATGACATACAGAACAAAAATATTTTTCAGATTCCAAGTCTCTCAAAGGACGGAACAAACTTTTGACCTCTCTGGGAGCAGACAAAGCAACAGCAGAACAACCTAAGGAACATCTGTTGACATGACTTCATGGGCTTGTAATCAACAGCATCCACCTTCTCAGAAGGTCCCTGACCCAAATTTTGCCCTTAAAAACCCTCACTTGTAGGCCATTGGGGAGTTTGGGACGTTTGAGCACTAGCTCCCCGTTCTCCTGGATCGCACCACACCAGTAAATAACCTACCTTCCTTCCCCGCAAAAATTTGTTGTCAGTTTTTATTGGCTTGCTGTGCATTGAGTGGAGGCACTCTTTGGGTTTGGTTACAGACTCTTCCTTTGGATCTGACCTCCCATGGCAGGCAGGTGGGGCCAATTTTAACTCTTCACACTTAACTGCTTTTCCTCCCCAACACATACAAAGGAAGCCATAGCATGACCAGAAGGTGGCATAGTGTGTATGGAACCCAAGGTGGGGAGGGGATACAGTACATTAAGTCTTAAAAATTGCCATTATCTCCTCCCCTACCCCACCACTGATTCTTTTTTTTTTTTTTTTTTTTTTTTATTTCTAGAAGAGAGAGAGAGAGCGTGAGCAGGGAGGGTCAGAGAGAGAGGGAGATACAGACTCTGAAATAGGCTCCAGGCTCTGAGCTGGCAGTCAGCACAGAGCCCGACGCGGGGCTCGAACCCACGAACCGCGAGATCATGACCTAAGCGAAAGTCGGACGCTCAACCGACTAAGCCACCCAGGCGCCCCCCCCCCACTGATTCTAAAATAGGTATATATTGCGTGAAGTATTACTCAGCAATCAAAAAGAATGAAATCTTGCCATTTGCAACAACATGGATGGAACTAGAGGGTGTTATGCGAAGCAAAATTAGTCAGAGAAAGACAAGTATCATATGACTTCACTCATGTGTGGGATTTAAGATGAACATTAAGGAGGACACTTGTTGGGATGAGCACTGGATGTTATAGGTAGGGGATGAATGACTGGATTCTGCTCCTGAAATCATTATTGCACAAGATGCCAACTAACTTGGATGTAAATTTTAAAAAATAAATTAAATTAAAAGAATAAAGTAAAATAAATAGGTATACATTGGAGAAAGTCAAACATTGCAGAGTTCTAGAATCTGGAATGGAAAAAGTATAAATTCGCCATGATCCCAGTCTAGGGTCTGACCACTCTGAAGAGTGTGGTGACATCCTATCCCCTAGCCTCTCTGCCTTTCTTTTTTCAATAACTACAATAATTTTGCTTACAAAAATAAGATTGGCCTGGGGCTCTCTCTCTGGGGGGTGGGGGCACAGCTGCTCCTGAAGGCACAGGAACTCCTGTAACCTGGGACAGCTGAAAGCAGGGCACGGGGGGTGGGGGGTTGGGGGGAGGGGGCCCGGTTCTGCCCCCGAAGAGCACTGGGTTCCACAGACATTCCCCACCCTTCACCACCCATTCAACCTGCAAGGCAATGGCCTTTACTATTTGAATAGATTTTCCTCGGGGTGCCTGGGTGGCTTAGTCGGTTAGGCGTCCGACTTTCGCTTAGGTCATGATCTTGCAGTTCGTGGGTTCGAGCCCCGCATTGGGCTCTGTGCTGACTGCCAGCTCAGAGCCTGGAGTCTGTTTCAAAGTCTGTGACTCCCTCTCTCTCTGACCATCCCTGCTATGCTCTCTCTCTCTCTCTCTCCTAGAAATAAATAAAACATTAAAAAATTTTTTTAAAAATGTGTTTTGAATAGATTTTCCTCTGCCGGTATGGAATGATGTATCAGATTGAACAAGCCAACAAACAAATGCTGAAAGATCTCCCTGCTGGACCCCCAGTATATCCTTGACATTCCTCAGGCAGGATGCCACCTTGAAAGACCAGTACTTCTATAGGGGATCCCCAGAGCACCTTACCATCCAGGAGTGGTTACACAGAAAATCAGCTAGATCACATGATGCCTAGATTGGAATTTATACAGTCAAGGATCACTATCCCATCCAGGAAACCTTCACCAGAAATTACAAGGTGATATTGTCCGCCCAGTTTTTTGACATACAGCTGCATGTTAAAGACCTCAGTTTACCCCACCGAGAATGAGCCAGAGGACCAAGCAGAGAAGGTAAGCCTGTGAACATGGAAGTGACAGCACCGGACGTCGGACGCCACGGCCTCAGTGGGAAATGGATTTGAGACCTGAAGAGACAAGGCTCTTCACTAGAGGTAAATATCATCATTTTGCAAAAATAAACATTGTTGTGAGTTCTGTGTACGTATGTAATTTTGACTACTCAAGCTATGTTTACCAAATGAAATTGAATGGAGAATATATGGTGATATGAGATGAATAGACAGCGAATATGGATACTTGAGATAGTTTTGATATCCACTTGGTCCCGTTTTTCACGCATACATATTTGCATACTAGGTGCCCTGGCATACTAAGGGCTACATTGTTGGCTGTGACAGACATATTGTACGACTGACATTGTTGAGAAGTGATGGTGATAATAAAAAAGTAGATGATTTTGGTCAGTGTACAGACAACGACCCCTTTAGCGTCAGACTGCTGACATTGCCCCCCTCCCAAACTGACATTGCCCCCCTCCCACTGACAAAGTGACCACTTAAAATCTCTTCCAGATCTGAGGTGCCTGGGTGGCTCAGTTGGTTGAATGTCCGACTTCAGCTCAGGTCATGATCTTGTGGTTCGTGAGTTCGAGCCCCACGTCGGGCTCTGTGCTGACATCTCAGAGCCTAGAGCCTGCTTTCTGTGTCTCCCTGTCTACGGCCATACCACCCTGAATGCACCTGATCTCCTCTGATCTTGGAAGCTAAGCAGGGTCGGGAGTGGTTAGTACTTGGATGGGAGACGGATTCTGTGTCGCCCTCTCTCTCCTCCTTCCCCACTTGCACTCTGTCTCTGTCTCAAAAATAAATAAGCATTAAAAAATTAAAAAAAAAAACAATAAATACTTGGTTGCATTACAAAAAATCCCTTCCAGATTTAAGAATTCTATGACATGACCCAATTCACATAGAAATTTTGGCTTAACTAGAAGTCTGTACTATTCCTTTAAAGAGAAGATATTAGTTAGAAGTCTGTACTATTCCTCTAAAGAGATATTTTAAGCCATCGGACTTGGAAAATCTTAATGTCTACACTTGGGTAAGCAGAAGCCGGATACACTTCCTTTTTTCTACGCCAGAGTATTGATATATGTGCTGAAACATGATGTACTTGTCAATAGAACTACAGGGACAGGTAGTATTTTAAAAATTGCACTGGGGGCACCTGTCCAACTTCAGCTCAGGTCATGATTCACAGTTCGTGAGTTCAAGCCCTGCAGCGGGCTCTGTGCTGAGCACAGGACTTGCTTGGGATTCTCTCTCTCCCTCTCTCTCTGTTCCTCCCCTGCTCTCTCACTCTCTCTCCCTCTGTCAACATAAATAAAAAATAAACATAAAAAAATAGCATTGAACTAGGTATGCCTGTCTGGCTCAGTCAGAAGAGCATACAACTCTTGATCTCGGGGTCATGAGCTGGAGTCCCCATCAGGTGTAGAGATTACTTAAATAAATAAAACTTAAAAAATAAAAAATAAAAAAGAGCACTGAACTATGAAACAGCAGACCATTGTCTAATAAATCCAGGACTAGAATTCCCTTGCACTCCAACTCCTTTGGTTAACAAAATGCGCCGTGCTTTCCTTCACTTTGGCCTTCCTGGGACACTGACCTCCCGATCTCTCTGACTTCCTAGGTTAGCTCACACATGAGTTTTTCTGGGAGCTGCTCACGAGCCTGGATTAGGTGCACTGTGCAGCTTGAATGTGCTCTTGTCACACTTACTACGCTGGGTGGTAACATCCTGTTTATCGGACACTATCATCCACCAGCCTATGAGCCCCTCGCGTACGGGTAGCACGTTCCATTTACTTCTGTATCCCAGCTCCAAGCAAGTGCCTGGCGTATGATTGGTGCTCTAGACGTTTGTAGAGTGCTGAACGCTAGCCTGTCTTATCCTTCCTTCCTCCTCTGGTAAAGGGGCTGCGTTTGCTGAGCTCTAAGGAGAGTTCCAGGAATAGAATTTATCACTCTAGGCTCTTCTGTGATTGTTTTATCTGACCATCCATCTTCTGTACTTATCAGAAGAGATGTGACACTTATTTTATGCTGAAAACAATGTATTACACACAATTACCTATGTTATTTCAAAAATGTAATGTAAAGGATGCCTGGGTGGCTCAGTCGGTCGAGTGCCTGACTTTATCTCAGGTCGTGATCTTGCAGTTCAAGAATTTGAGCCCCGTGTCGGATTCTGTGCTGACAGCTTCGGAGCCTGGAGCCTGCTTCAGAGTCTCCCTCTCTCTCTGCCCCTCCCCCACTCACGCTCTGTCTTTCTCTCTTAGAAATAAGAACATTAAAAAATGTAATGTAAAAATTAGGATTATAGTACACATAATGTTCTGCAAGTTGTTTGTTTGTTTGTTTGTTTTTCATTCATGAGGACTTTCTGATCAGAGCCAGAGACACAGCTTATTGTTTTTAATGGCTCTGGAGTATTTCACAAAAAGATACTGATCAGTCACCTCCTGTTGGACGCTTAGCTTGTTTCCAGTTTTTCATAATTACAAACAGGGCTAGGAGCATTTCCCCAGGAGACTCTGTAAGTAGAACTACAATATCAGGGCATATTTAACATTCCGATCAGTGTTGCCAAACTGCCCACTGAGAGAATGCATCCATTTATCTCCAAGGTGATGATATCAAACAGCCAAGAATAATTGCGAGTCACCTGACGGGTTTGGGGGCATCTCCGGACAGCTGCTCTAAAGTCAGGCAGACACATTTCACCACATTTTGGCTTCTTGCATCTCCTTGGGACAGAGTGATGCCACCAGCCCAGATTGATTACATAACCTGCCTTCAGCCTGGGAACCCCCAGATCCTTTGAGCTAAAAACATCTGTACATCCTTCAGGCTATCCATGTTTTTATGACTTGGACAGTTTAACTCGTGGAATTGGGTATGTCTTGGTGTCTTTCTCATTCTTTTTTCTTTTTTTTTTCTTAATTTTGGCAGAGAGAATAAAAAGGAGAGGGCCAGAAAGAGAAAGGGAGAGAGAAAATCCGAAGCATGCTCCACAGTGTCAGTGCAGAACCCGATGCTGGACTCGATCCTACGAACCGTGAGATCATGACCTGCACAGAAACCAAAAGTTGGATGCTTAACTGACCTAAGCCACCCAGGCTCCTCTGTTTCTCAGCCATCTTTGTTCAGGCTTCACTGCCTCTAGGAAACCTGATGTGATCCTCTCCCAACCATGCCCCCACCCTCCTCACCCCTGATTGGGGTGGGTACCCTCCTGAGAGCTCCCCAGCACCCTGGGTTCACTCCAGGCTGATCATGCTGGGTTGTAATAGGTGTGCCTGGACATCTCCTAGAATGTCACGGAGGTACAGTCATACATAGAAAGAAAATAAACTTCCTCTTGGCTGATTACACATATTCACCTGGAGGCTAGAAGTTGGGAAAACACACTTCAACTTTTCCCACTGAGTCACCTTCTGGGCCCTACAGGTCCATGCCATGGGTTCCCAAAAGTCCCTTCTCTCTTGGCCACCCTCCCTCTGTCTGCCCGGCTCCCCTGGGATCTAGGCTTTCTTCTTCCCGCACCTGCAGGATCAAGGCCAGGGAGACCTTTCCTGGCTCCACGGAGGACGGTCACACTGTCTTCACAATCTTCCGCAGGACTAGGACTGGGGTTCTCTGGGTTCCCCTAGAGCCCAGCACCTGGAAGCTGAAAACCCCACCAATTTTAAAGAGTTTTGCGGATCCAGCTGATCATTTATTGAGCACTGACTGTGTGCCAGGGCCCGGGCACACCATAAGACAGACAAGATTCCTGCCTTGGTGAATGGTAATAGTAATCAGCTAACATTATTGACCACTTACTCTGTTCTAGGCACTGTGCTGAGCCTTGACAAGAATTGGCCTTTTAATCCTCACAACAATCCCACCAGGAAGGTATTATCATTAATCTCGTTTTACAGATGAGGAAACCGAGACACAGAGAGGCTCAATAACTTATCTAAGGGCACAAAACTAACAGGCCCAGGAACCGAGCTTTGGACCTAAGCAGAGGCTACTCCTTGAACCACAAACTAAACCAAACCAGGATTGCATTCGAGTGGGGACATAGTGTGTAGAAGGAAACAAAGAAAAAAGATACTTCCATCAGTGATCACTGAATGCTATGGAGAAAGTATAATAAAATGAGGCTCGTGGGGTACTAAGCCTGGTCCAAAGCAGGTACTAATTAATCATTTGGGGGAAGGAGGCAGGATGGGCAGGGGGGGGGGGTGGCGGAAGGAAGGAATCCCTGACAAGTGCCTCCCTACACACAGCTGCCAAAACTTTGCCAGTGTTTGCCCAGATGTGTCGACCTAGAACCAGGCTGGAACTGGGGTCAGGGAGACCTCGGGAGGAATCCTGCACCACTCACCAGCCGTGTGACCTTGAGCAAGTTGCTCTCTGAGCTTCAATTTCCCTTCTCTGAAGATCAGCGGAAATAGCAGTCCATGCTGTGCTGGCTCAGGACAAAGGCCTGTCACACCTCGTGGTCTTGTCACCACCTCCCCTTTACAGCTGAGCAGACAGAAAGTCAGAAGTGAGCCTAAGATCTCGCAGTGCGTTACAGGGGCCTGGGCAGCTCGGGAATTTTGGGGGGTGGGGGTGGGGGGTTCATAGTAGTGATCGTGACAGGGAGGCCGTGTGGGAGGGTCACCTGCAGGATTGTCTCACATCCTGCAGACGTTTGACTGTCCTGCTAGGCAGTCACGAAGCTAAAACACTCATTTACAAAGACATAACACTAGAACGCACCCCATCGCATGCAGCGATGGAGCCCTACTGCCTAGGAAGAACCGCATATTTCCTCATTGTCTCCACCTTTATTTGTCTGGGTGTGTCATCTGGGTTTCAGGTTACTTTCCTCTTTCCCTGACCATCTGCTCTGCTATGATTAGTGGAGAGGGGAAGATTCTTCTGTCCTTCCTTATCTTCCAGTTGGACTAAGAATTAAGTTGACACAAGACAGATTAATAACAGGGAAAGTGAAGTTTTATTATGTGCACGTGGAGGCCCAGTCGGGGAAATTGAGACCTAACGAAATGACCAAAGCTGGCAGTTTTTATCCTTTTAGATAAAGCGACAGTAAATCCACGAGGAATTGAAAGGAGAAAGAAATTTAACTTTGGGAGCTTTAATTATTAAGCAATTTTAAATAGATTTTGGGCTGGGCTAGTAAGTTAGTAAAAAAGTCACAGACCTCTTGGCTCTGAATTTCCTGTGTCTGGCAATCGGGGTGTCTCCTTACTTCCCAGTACAGGGAGGGTAACTTTCACCCAGGAGATTTATTTCCTGTTCTCAGGTAAACAGAGGAGGGTCTGCCCTTCTCACACAGGCTGTCTCTTAAGTAACTTTTATTTAAAATAACCAATATTCCAGGGGCACCTGGGTGGCTCAGTTGGTTCAGCATCCGACTCTTGGTTTCAGCTCAGGTCATGATCTTACCGTTTGTGGGTTCGAGCCCTGTGTCAGGCTCTGCACTGACCATGCGGTACCTTCTGGGGATTCTCTTTCCCCCTTTCTCTCTGCCTCTCTGCCTCTCTCTCGCTCTCTCTCAGAAAGAAATAAACATTTAAAAATTTAAATAAAAGAACCAGTATGCTGACGCAGCACATTGTGGGACGGCCTGCCCTTGGCCCCTGAGTGATTGTCCCAAACTCTCTTTGATTCAGGTGATCTCACTTTCATTTCCTAGATGTTCAAGAATTCGCACATCAACGAAACCTGAAAAACAAAAACTAAATTTAATTCTGGCTCAGGCTAGGGAGAAACGCGAGCAGAAGTGCCTCTTCGTGTTAAACAGAGAACAAGACTGGGTTATTACGAGGTTTGGGGGAAGGTAGAATTTCGGCAACAGTGAGAGGGAACGGTGGCTGGATGGGCTCACAGCAGAGTGGGAAAGTGAGCAGAGAATGAACACCTGGCTAAGCCAGAGAAGGTCCTATTGTGCTGGAAACCGAGAAGGTCCTATAGTGCTGAATTTAAACAAAAAACAAAAAAACCCAACAACACGGGGAAGGTTGCATCTGCCTCCTTCCCAGTCCCTGCCGTGGGATTTGGCACAAAAACCTCAGGGAAAACATGAGAGGGCAACCCAGGGTGTGGGCTCTCCGGGTCAATTCAACCCACATGGGCAGATCCCTTAAGGCAAGCATGGAAAATTTCATGTTCACGCGTTTCTTATCTGAATCCCTTCCTTGCGTTCATATTAAATAGGTACAAATGCCTGTTTGCTTCATAATGTCTTCTACCTCAGCATTTCCGTGTTTTGAAAGACATCATTTCATTATAAGTGGGTTTCCTTTCATGTCTCCTTTACATTACAGTGAGTTTTTCGGAAATCATCATTGAGTTTTTCGGAAAGGAGGCAAATTATTCTATGCTCACATAGTGCAATTTAGACAGCACGACTGTACCAGGCACTGTCGTGAGTGTCCTTCCCTGTAGTGTCTCATTTGAGTGTCTCACCAACCCTATGAAGTCAGTGCAATTATCATCATCTTCGTTTGTGCAGAGGAGAACACCGAGGCACGGAGAGGTCAAGTGACTTGCCTGGGATCACCCAGGAAGTAGCACACCAGAGGTTTGAACCCAGGGCAGCCGGCTCCAGAATGTGCACTCTTAACTATTCCGCTAGCCTCCCTGTTGGGTGAGGGAAACTACCTAGGGGCCCACTCTGCCCCCCCACCCCCACCCCCGGCTCCAGATATGAAGGGGGCTTTCCAGATTTTTCTTATCAAAAAGGGGTATTGGGTGTGTTAGGGGTGAGAACGGCTGACCTATTTCGTGGCGTGGTCTTGGCTTCATAATCTGCCACCAGGGTCCCAAGTCTGAGCCAGAATTGGGATGGGGGTCAGCCGTGTGGCAGGGGGCAGGAGACAGACAGAAAGGACTCAGCCAGGTGCGGCCCTCCATCCCCACTGGCCTTGATCCCAAGGAATGTTTATGCTCAGATTCTGCCTCTTGCCTCCTCCTCCCCAGGGGCGGGGATCTCCTCTGTGGAAAAATACCCAGCTGGGCGAGCCCCAGTGAGAGGGAGGAGGCGAGGGGAAGGGGCTGGACTCACAGCACGACTCTCTCCCCCCCCTCGTGATTGCTGTTTACTGGGTCGGGTTCTGGGAAAGGGCCAGATTGCATCAGACAGGGCCTGAGGAGGACACGTGGCCTTATAAGTTGGGGCCAGTGAACAGGGGGGTGTCCGGAAACCAGACACAAACAAAGCTTTGGGAGACGACAGAGAGACAGCAAGGGAAAGTCAAGTATGACGGCCACCTTCCCGCAAGCAGCCAGCCCTGCGCAGCAGCCCCTGGGCCCGGAGGATGAAGACTTCAGCCTGGATGAGTACGACCTCTATGGCCTGGCTCCTTCTTACCTGGGTAAGGTCTGGCCCTGTCACCTTCCTGGTCCCTTGCCTTCTACCTCCAGCCTGCAACTAGGATTCCTCCTGGGGCTTCTCCCCACACCCCCACCCTTCTCCAACCTGTTCCCTTGACCCCTCGAGTCACCCCTTCCAACCCCCCTTCCCCTGAGTGCTGTCCTGCTCAGCTCTGGGACCTCACATGCCCCTAGAATATTGGGGCAACAGCAGATCACGGGGTCCCCTCATTCCACAGATGGGGAGACGGGGGCTACAACTGCCCCAAAGCTATGTGGTGACCACTCTTCGGTCTGCCACCCATGCTCTTTCCAACCCCTACTCCCGACACCCTGCCTCTCCTTGGATGTATCAGGCCTCCAACCACCTCATCACAGCCTCTTTCCTGGTTCCCAGGAGCGGGAGGCCGGAAAGGTCGCAGCAAGAGAGAGGCTGCTGCCAACACCAACCGCCCCAGCCCCGGCGGCCACGAGAGGAAGCTGGTGACCAAGCTTCAGAACACGGAGCGGAAAAAACGAGGGGCACGGTCTTGAGGCAGAGCTGGAGGTAAAGAGTCAGGGGACCTAGAAGGCTCTCTGCCTCAGAAGGACAGGCCCGAATGTGTGTGGTCAGGTGGAGAGAAGGGTTCCGAGAACCGTTGTCGTGGGGCGCCTGGGTGGCTCAGTCAGTTGGGCGTCCGACTTCAGCTCAGGTCATGATCTCGCAGTTCTCGAGTTTGAGCCCCACATCGGGCTCTGTGCTGACAGCTCGGAGCCTGGAGCCTGCTTCGATTCTGTGTCTCCCTCTCTCTGCCCCTCCCCTGCTCACACTCTGTCTCTCTCCCTCCCTCAAAAATAAATAAACATTAAAAAAAAATTTTTTAAAGAACCATTGTCTCAACATAGAACAAAATGAGACACACATCAGACTCTGAGTTTCCTAGTGACCAGAGCAAAAAGGGAAACACAGAACCTTGCCAATTGGAGGGAAGTTTGGTTTACGAAGAGGGTAGCAGAGGCCCAGAGAGGGTAGGGTCCTTCTCTGGAGACCAAGAGCAAGTGACCAGCAGAGGAAGAGATAGAACCCCAGAATTAGAACTGTCTCTCTCTTTCCTTGCCCCAGATGAGGCCAGAGCACGGACACCACACAGCGATGGAGACAGGACTTCGGAGAATCGGCACCTGGGGGAGGGATGCAGGACTGCTTGCCCTCCCACTCCACCCCAGGACTTACCCCACCTGACTGAGGCTCTGAGGGGCCACACAGGAAGCACCCCCAGCCCCAGGAAAAGGACAAGCTAGGGGTGGGGAGCAAGAGGCAGGGAATGGAGACGCAGAGTCAAGAAAGGTAACCCCCCACCCCCCAAAGGAAAGACCTCCAAAGAAACTGGAACCTCCTAAGGGCGGAAAGGACAATAAACAAAATTCAGCAGTTGCCGCTTGTGTGTGGAATTTTGTCCCCTCTCTCTGCGTGGTTTTATTTGTGTCTTGTCTCTGCCTGCATGTGTCTGCTTCTGCATGAACCAACGAGCGCGGTTTTTGTTAATGTTTGTCCTTGGTTATGTGTCTGGGAGAGGGCGTCCCGATTTGGTAGGGACCAGTAGAGGCCAGCCAGCCTGGTTGCTTTCATTTTATTTTGGTCCCCAGAGGCTTTGGCAAATGCGCCTCTGTGGTCTCTTAGGAAAGGCATGGAAATTTCCTGTTTCCTTGTCATCCTGCCTGTAAAAGAAGTCCCCTCCGCAGCTCCTCTCCCCTTTCAGAATAAACCATCTTACATGTCTTTTTAATATAAAGCCCCCTTTTTAAAATGTATTTAAACGTTATTTTAACATTATTTATTGGTGCCGTCTGCAAAATGGAGAACGCTGAGATTTAGAGCATTAAGAGACTCAGCCCAGATTACTGGCTCAAGTTCAAGGATTCTCGCTGTCCTATAAGGTGAGTCCCTCTACCAAGGGGGCTGCCAGCAGAGGGTTCTGGGAGGTCAGCTGAGGGAGGAAGATTCTTACCTATTATAGACCCTGAGCCTTGGGACCAGAGTTTAGGAAGAACATAGGGCAAGTGAGATGATCTATTGATCAAGGTACAGGTTTGGGCTGCTGTAATGAAGACTCAAAACGGGATAGAAGGCTCTCTGTCACATAGCAGCTCCGACGGTCAGTACTCTCGGGCTTAAAGGATAACTTGACTGTCAGGGATTCCAGCTACTTTGAGTTTGTTGTTCTGCCATGTTCAAAACATGGCTTCCACCATGGGGTCCAAACTCACTGCTTCGATATCTGCCATCACACTTGCATCTCAGCCCATGGAAAGGGATGGGGGAAGGGACCAGGGAAAGCCACACCTTCATTTTGAAGACCATGATCTAAAAGTAGACTACGTTACATCTGGTCCGAATTTAAACGCACGGCCACACCTAACTACAAGAGAGGTTGGGAAATGTAATATTTAGGTGCTTAACCACGTGTTAGCTCAAACTTGGGGAGGGCAGGAGAGCGGATACTGGAAAAAACTAGCAAGAAACATTTTCCACTGGCGGACTCAACCCAAGGCGGGGAGAAAAGCCCTAAGTCTGGCCCTGGGCAAAACATTTTTCCTATTCTCCTGCCCTTCCCTATAAGCTCTAGGCTGCAAAACTTGGAGCCAATTGTTAAGGACAAAGGAATGAGGCATCTGTTGGGTACACAGCCCTCGAAGACCAGCTTGAACCTCTGGGGACTCTCTGTCCATCTCTGGGGAATCTCTGTCCTTTGGCCTCCCCTGAGTCCGACCCATCAACAGTCACAGAATTTTCTGGCTGGGAAGAGGAGTAAAGGTCATTGAGTCCAAACCCACCCCACTCCAGAGTGGGATCACCTCTGCTTGCTTGAATACCAGTAGTTTACACTAACCCAACAGGCATATTAATATTTGATCCTATGTTACAGACCAGAAAACTGACGTTAAGAGAAGTTAAGTAATTTGCCCAAAGTCACACAGCCACAGTTTGGAGGACCTGGGATTTTGAACTTAGGTCCATCTAATTTTTGAAGCCTGGGATTTTCCCCTTTTTACTATACGCCTGAGAATACACTGCACTGACAATGTGGAATCCTAGATGTTAGTTCATTTCTGGTTAATTACTACTCCTTCTCTGCCTATTTCTTTTCCTGTCAAAAGGTCTACTTGAATAGAGAAAACAAAGGCTGCGAAGTGCTGTGTCTGTGGCTGAACCGTGGCCACTCCCTGTGTTCTGGGCCCTTTGACACTTTGCCAGGAGGCCCTATATGCCACCCTCACTCCTGGCCTGTGATTGGCCTTCCCTGGCCTCGCCCTACCTTGGCACAAACTCTGCCTGGGAGACCTTTATGTGGCTGTTCCAGGAACCAGACAATTCTTGGAATTACTGAATGTTTGGATCTGAAAGGATCCTGGATGTTAGAGCCCCACTCTGCCCTTCGCAGAAGGGGAAATCAAGGTCTGGTGGGGCGGGGGCAGGAAGCAGCTACAACACCAAGACAGGGACCCAGTCAGGACAAGAACCTGTGCTTGACTCTACGCACCCAGAACATCCCTCTTCTGTTCCACCCACTTTTTACTCTCCTTTTTTTTTTTTTTTTGGTCCCCTAATTGCACGTAATGTCTGTCTCCTTAGTTTCTAGGGGTCCTCCTGAGAACAGAGGGATGACTGGCCTCTATTTCCCCTCGGGAGCTTATGGAAGTTTCCCCACCAGGTTCCCACCATTCTAAGGATTCCCAGCTTCTTGCCGAGAATCCGGAAACTCACCAAGGGGTTTGCTTCACAAACACCTAGTCCTCTTCTGCCCACGCAGCGCTCAGGGCTGTGCAGTTTTTTCAAATTTCAAAAGCACCCAGAGCTGATTTTAACTGGCACTCCTTAAAGGTAACACCAGTGATAGCAATAGTCATGGCCACCATTGTTGATGGTCAGCCTCAGGGCTTTCCCCGCCTCATCTTTCACACAGCTTCCATTGTTTACCTAGAACTTTTTAAATTGCCTCCCCACCTTTTCCACCCAAATGCACTTTAAAAGGAGACTACATAACCACCCAAAACAGAAAAGCCACAATCATTTGTCATAACTCGAAGACTATAGAAAGGAACATCTAATATAACTTTTTTAAGTCCACCTGGGCACACCTCGGATGACCTTGTGTGCTAACGGTCACGGGCGTTCACACTCGGAGAAACTCCGGCTGTTTATGAGCCCGACCAGGTGCTCTGCATCCATGGGAGAAAGCCTCCTTGGAACCACCTGGTGACAGGTGCGTTAAAGACCCGGATGTCCGGCTCCTCCTCGCAGAGATTCTGATTTCAGAGGTGGAGGCTGGGCTTTGGGAGCCGGGAGAGTGATTCTAATGTCAAGTGTGAAGGCATCAGATCCACGGGGCTTTTGTCTCAGGCTGCATTTACCAAATATGGTCACCGCAGCAAGCGCTCCCAAGCCACGTGCCCTCCTTGGCACCCTCCTATCAAGCAGACACGGACTGTGCTCCTTTTGAACGCGGCAGGGGGAACTTTGCAAGTGCCTTGACTAGTAGAGTCAGGCGGAAGTGGCGGTGCCGTAAAACACCATGACATCGTGCACTTCCGCCTTGCCTCTGGGGTTCTTGGAGCCCAGTCACCCTACTGCGAGGAAGTCCAAAATAAGACACATGGAGAGAGGAGGCGGAAAGGCCACGTGCTGATGTCATTCTGGTCCTCAGCCCCGGCGAAGTCCCGGCCGAAAGACATCCTCCAGCTCCAGACGTGTGAGCGAAGGGAACCTGCGAATGGCTTCCAGCCCCAGCCGTCAAGCCACCTCCAGCATCTGAGTCTTAACCAGAAAGGCCACGTCCAATTCCCCATCCACAGACTTAGCGCAAGATAAAACAGCCATTTCACAGCATTACATTTGGGGATGGTTTGTTACACAGCAATAGTGTCTGGAACAGCCTTGGGGTCACTGAGACCTAAGTCCAGATCCTGTCTGCAAACTTGTCCGTGACCTGGGATAAGTTATTGTTTACCCGCATCTTTTTTTTAATGTTTTTTTTAATTTCTTTTTAAAAAAATTTTTTTTTTTTATTTCTAGGAGAGAGAGAGAGAGAGACAGCGTGAGCAGGGGAGGGTCAGAGAGAGAGGGAGTCACAGACTGAAGCAGGCTCCAGGCTCTGAGCTGGCAGTCAGCACAGAGCCCGACGCGGGGCTCGAACCCATGAACCGCGAGATCATGACCCAAGCGAAAGTCGGACGCTTAACCGACTGAGCCACCCAGGCGCCCCTAAGTTTATTTTGAGAGAGATTGTGCAAGTGGGGGAGGGGCAGAAAGAGAGGGGAACAGAGGATCTGATTCCTAGGCTGCTCCCTGCTGACATCAAGAGAACCCTGCGTGGGGCTCGAACACACAAACTGTGAGATCATGACCTGAGCCAAAGTGAGGTGTTCAACCGACTGAGCCACCCAGGCACCCCAGTTTACCCTGCATCTTTTTTTTTTTTTAATGTTTTTATTTATTTTTGAGAGACAGAAACAGAGCATGAGCTGAGAGGGGCAAAGAGAGTGGGAGACACAGGATCCAAAGCAGACTCCAGGCTCTGAGCGGTCAGCCCAGGACCCGATGCGGGGCTCGAACCCGCAAACCATGATATCATGACCTGAGCCAAAGTCGGACACTCAACTGACTGAGCCACCCAGGCGCCCCTACCCTGCATCTTAATTTCCACATCTGTAAACAGGAGATGAAGTGTACACCCACCGTTCCGGGAGGAATAGTTTTGAGAAGGAAATTGAGTTTTTCAAGCACTTAGCAGGGCACCTGACCCAGAACAAGAACTTAAAGAAACAGCAGAGAAGCAGACACAATGGGCTCTGGACCCAGACTGCAGGTTCAAGTCCCAGCTCCCTTATTCTCTGCGTGACCTTGGGTCCGTTACCTGACCTTTCTAGTCTCAGTTTCCCCGTGTGAAAAATAGGAATTCCAGTAACATTAAACACTGGATTGTGCTGTGATTAAGCAAGGAAGTGTTGCCAAATGCATAGTAAGCAGCGTGTAAGTATTTGATTGAAACAATGACACAGAAACAGAGTTCAGGTGTGCAAGAGCTACAATCTATTGTTGAAATTGATTTACCCTGTCCCTTTTCTGCTGCCAGCAGGGGTCTGATTGGATCAGTTTGCGATGTTTTCTCTCCTTTCTCCAGGGTTCCCAGGAGCAGAGCTGGGAAGGGGCACAGAGTGCTGGAGGCCTCAACATCCCCTTGCTTCCCTGCCACGGTGTCCCCGCCACTGCCCTTCCTGTCCTTTCTTTGCTGTTTCATCTTAATGTGTACTTATTTATTTAGAGAGCGAGCGAGCACGAACAGGGGAGAGGCAGAGAGAGAGTCCCCAAGCAGGCTCCATGCTGTCAGCACAAAGCCCCATGTGGGGCTCAAACTCACGAACCACGAGATCATG